TTGAACCGCCAGCCTTCTGGTTAGTAATCAAATGCCTTAGGCACTACACCACCAGAGCTCCTGTCAATTAATAATAGGTGTAAGTATTATGGAGAAAAAATTAAAAGTGAAATTATCCTTCGAGTATTTGTTTATTTTATCCCCTAAGAAAGAACACTGGCTCTGCTATCATACTGGATACAAGACCTTTCTCCCAACATTTTTATCTTCAGTACATTTTAGTTACATGTCATCTAAACATATTTTAATTTAAGGGATGCCTTCCCAAAGAAAGAGTGGGAAATACCACAAAAAGGGTTACTTTAAAACTTTTTTTTTTCCAAGGATGGAGTATATGTAGAAATGGAATGAGGCATTGGCTTTGTCTTGCTATCAACATGGTGTATTTTACGCATTGAACTAAATAAGTTAGGGGTGGGAAGCATTTCATTCTCCTGGGCTCCCTCTGCTAGTCATGTCACACCTGCCCAGTCCTTGTCCAGACTTCCTTCAGAGCCCAGTTGGTGCCACAGTCACAGGATCCTTTAATTTCAGGCTACCAATCCTTATCAAAATTTTAGTTATTATCTGTTCTTTGATAGATAATTGTCCTTTTCTTGAGTGTCAATACTTCATAATCAGCAAATTTAAATGACAGCAGCAAATTAAAATGAATTCATCAGAATACAGGTTGATGGGCTACATCATAAAGACTCATTTGTTTTTTTTCAATTGTAATTATTAATATGATCCTAAATACAGAAATGTATCAAATATAAATGTAAAGTAGTGTTCATATTACTGGAATCTCACATTAGTTTTTATTGTCTTGTTTATCTCTGTTCCCATCATATGATTTAAATAGGTCTTTAACACATAATCAAGATCTGTGTCTACCTTATTGCTTGTACTATCTCTAATTTGAAGTAATTCCAAACATTAAAAAAAAATAATTAAGTTGTTTCTCACTCATTAGTATGATCTAATTTTTATTTTTAGTATTTTATGAGTTTTTAAAATGATTTAAAAACAAGGATTATAGAAAGCATAATGTTCTTCATAGGAGATTTAGGCTTTTCAGTTGTGAAAAAATGTTAATATATTAATGGATAACTGTAGTCTTCTTATATTGGAAATAAGAAATTTAACAAGTGAATATGCTTACATTATTAAAATTATCTATTTCAATAATCATGACTTTTATCTTTGATGTTTAATTTTTATAAAAGCAACATTCACATGCAAAATGATTTGCTGGTTTCAAATGTATTAACCTCTGCCTACAATTAACAACCTAATTTGAAAAAGGGGAAGATGGGCTAAAGAATTTTAACTTAAATCACAAGTTTCCATGCTCACTCATTCCTCCAGTTTAAGGCACTACTTTACTATTCATGAGACATTTTTAGATAGAATTTCTTGGAATACAATTTCCTAAATTTCATTAAGTAAAAAAAAAAAAATAATAACTAGTAGGGATTCTAAGAAGCCTTCATACATTTTTTTTATATGATCAAAAACTATAAAAGTAGAAAAAAGATTAGTCTTTAAATTTATTCATTCCTGAAATGCTCCCAGATGCCATTTAAATCACTAGCACCTCCATTCTGGGTTCACCACATTGCAATTAATTACTTCTAAAATTTTATTTTTTCACTTATTCATTTTATAAGCTTAATTGTATGCACCAAGATAATTTTTTGAACTCGGATTAATCGCGATCATTTCTCCTTCATTTCCCCAGTGCAGCTGCTGAAGCTGATGGTATTGATCCATTAATAAACACCCTGTCTTGTAAACGAGACGGAGCCATTGCAAACGCAGCTACAGTACTGACAAACATGGCAATGCAGGAGACGCTGCGTGTGAACATACAGAGTCACAACATCATGAATGCAATCATCAGCCCACTGCGTTCAGCCAACACCGTTGTGCAGAGCAAAGCTGCTCTCACAGTTGCTGCAATTGTGTGCGATGTTGAGGCCCGGACAGAGGTGAGAGGTGTAATGTCTGTTTTTTCATTGTTCTGGTCATTACCCATTGATGGAGTAATTTGAAACAGTTTTAAGTGTTTGGCTACCCACCATTTAAGTCATCAAAACTGGTACAACGCTTTGGAAAACAAATTGCCATTATTTAGCAAAGAAGGTGAGCCTGTCTTATAACCTGGCAATTCTATTTCTAGGTATGTGCCTAGCAGAATTTCTTGCCTGTGTACTGAGAAGCTTTGTGTATAACACCAAACAACTCTGAACAAACCAGTTATCCAGTTGCTAAGAGCATGGATAAATAAATTGTGGTATATGCATAAAATAAAATCTCACATCAGTGAATATGAATCAACTACATCTACAGACATCACCATGGATAAATCTCACAAACATAATGCTGAGCAAAAATGAGTTGCACAAGAATACATACAATATGATTCCATTTACACAACATTCAAAAATATGCAAAGCTAAACAATATGCTCCTTAGGAATACGTACGTATCAGTTAAAACTATAAAGAAAAGTGAGAAAATGATTAACCCCAAATTCAAGAAATGGGCCATCTCTGATGGGGGACTCAGGGAATTGATGTAACTGAAAGGCGCACATAGGGGTTCAAGGTCATGGAAATGTTCATCTCTTAAGATGGGTGTTAGGTAAACAGGTGCCTTCTACTATGATTCTTTAAATTATACATATAGGGGGTTGTATACTTTTGTGTTTATCTTAGATATATTAATTTTAAAATACAGAATTGCATTTCTTAAAGTCCATCATAAAAAAGTATCTTTGGCACTGTGGTTGAGCCTATTAAATCTTTATAAAGACTTAATATAAGCCTATAAACATCCTATTTAATCTCATTTTTCTTGTATTTACTTGTCACTATGGCACTCATTCAAATAGCTTTGGACTTTGTTCCTCTCTCTCCATTAAATAACACTAGCTAACATTTATTGACCACTTATTATGTGCTAGGCACTACACTAATAAACACTTTAAATGCACTTAAGTCTCCCACAAAATCTGTATGATTGTAATCCTCATTTTACATACAAAGAAAATGAGGTTTAAAGAAATAAAGAATGTGCTCAAAGCAGAGCTGGTAAGTGACAGATCATGGATATGAAAGCATCTTTCTGATTCCAAAGCCTAAGCACTCATACTACGGTATCTACTCTGACAGTATCAAATACTTTCTGTCTCTTAAGTACCTATCCTCTTCCCCCTGTCTTCCATTCCTTTGACTCAGGTCATCTGTGTTCATCTATTCAGTTAGTAAGTTAGTCACCGAATATTTACCAACTATTATATATTGGGCAAGGAGCTCTGGTGGTGTAGTGCTTAAGGCATTTCACTGCTAACCAGAAGGTTGGCGGTTCAAACCCACCAGCCTCTCTGTGGAAGGGAGACTAGGCAATCTACCTCTGTAAAGATTTAACATCTCGGAAAACCAAGGAGGGTCACTCTGAGTTGGAATTGACTCAATGGCTGTGAGTTTGGTTTTGTGTGTATTGTGCACCCTGCCTTGCATCAGAAACAGTGATAAAAGTGATATGGTCATTAAAACATCATGAAGCTTGTGAAGGAGTCAATGTATATTCTGAAATATTAAAACAGACTCTTTGCTGCTGTCTCTATCTCTGCTGCTTCATACTCCCCACAATGCCTCCACTCTGATCTTCCAGATATGTGAACCTGATCACACCACTGCCCTACTAAAAAGTCCCCAATGGATCACCATTGCCACATGGTAAACTTGCAGTTGTTTAGTGTGATATGATAAACTGTTTTGACTTTCCTAAACAGCCTTAAGTCCTGCTCTTCCCAGGCAAAACTCTATGCTTCAGAAATAACCATACTGCTTATAATTCCACGCATACTGAGTTCTCTTATTTCTGTCTCCTTTATTTGTCTGCTTGGAAAGCTAGTCTTTTTGTCCCTCTAATATAGACACTGCCTCGGAAACCCAAGGAGGGGGTCACTATGAGTAGAATCGACTTGAAAGCAGTGTGTTTGGTTTTTGGTTTTTGGTTTAATATAGATATGCATGCCCATTTCAAAGAAAGGTGATCAGAATTACTGGACAACGTCATTTATATCACATGCTAGCAAAATTTTGCAGAAGATAATTCAAAAATTGCTATAGCCGTACTAACAGGGAACTGCCATAAGACAGGTCCAGAGAGAACATGGAATGAGGTATATCATTGCGGATGTCAGATCTATCTTGGCCAAAAGCAGAGAACACAATAGAGATGTTTACCTCTGTTTTATTGGCTACATGAAAGTATCTGACTGTGTAGATCACAACAGATGATGGATAACGTTATGAACAATAGGAGTTTAAGAACACTTTCTTGTACTCACAAGGAAGCTGTACAAAGACCAAGAGTCAGTTATTCCAGCAGAACAAGGGGATACCACATGGTTTAAAACTGGAAAAAATGTATATCAGGGTTGTATCCTTTCACCTTACTTACTCGATCTATATGCTGTCTGAGAAGCTGGGTGCAGCATCAAGATTGGAGGGAGATGCATTAACAACCAGCAATATGCAGATGATACAACCTTGTTTGCTGAATATGAAGATGACACCTACTGATGAAGGTCAAAGACTACACAGAGCCATCAGTATGAATTATACCTTAACATGAAGTAAATGAAAAACCTCTGGACCCATAAGCAACATCATGATAAACAGTGCAGAAACTAAAGTTGTTCAGGATTGGATCTATAATCAGTAACCATAGAAGCAGCCATCAAGAAATCAAATGACATACTGCACTGGGAAAATCTGCTGCAAAATACCTGTTTAAAGTATTAAAGAGCAAAGATGTCACATTGATAACTAAGGTATGCCTGACCCAAACCATGGTATTTTCAGTTCCCTCATATACATGTGAAAGCTGGACATTGAGAAAAGAAGACCAAAGAAGAACTGATGGATTTAAATTGTGGTGCTAGTGAAAAATATTGAATACACCCACTCCTCACTTAACAAAGTTAGGTTCCAAAGATCTGGTTGTTATGCAAAACCAGCATTCTGCAAAAAATGGAGCATGACCACATCAGATCACAAAATGGAGGATGACTACATCATTACATAACTACCAAACTGCATCGTTGTTGTTGTTGTTATGTGCTATCACGTCAGCTCCGACTCATATCAACCCTTCCTTGGGTTTCCGAGGTGGTGTCACTACAGAAGTAGATTGCCCAACCTTCCTTTCGAGGAATGGCTGGTGGGTTTGAACTGCCAGCCTTCTGGTTAGCAGTCAAGTGCCTTAGGCACTATGCTACCAGAGCTTCTAACTGCATCATTATATAACTGCAAAACCATTGAGACACATGGCCCAGCCAAGCTGACATATAACCTTAACCATCATAACCACCATTACTCTTACCTTGGTGTTCATTACTGCCAGACGTATGTTGTTAATGCACAAAATAGTTGGATAGTATTTTCTACTATTGTCATAAATGCAGAATGTCAGGTAACAAGATAGCTGATAAGTGAGGAGTAGGTGTATGCCATGGACTGCAGAACAATGAAAAAATCTCTCTCGAAGAAAGTACAGCAAGAATGGTCCTTAGAAGTGAGAAGGGTGAGACTTCGTCTTGCTTGCTTCGGACACACCCTCAGGAAGGACCAATTGCTAGAGAAATACTTGGTAAGGTAGAGAAATACTTGGTAAGGTCATTTTTGAGAGGGATACATAGAAAGATAGGTAGACAGGCTGAATGACAGGTATGTCTAGGCAAAAGGAAATATACTCATGACCATATATAAGGTTGGAAGACAATATTTAAAAAAAAAAAAAAAAAGAGGAAGACCCTCAATGAGATGGACTGATACAATGACTGCAACAATGGGCTCAAACATAACAATTGTGAGGATGGAGCAGGACCTGGTAATACTTGGTTCTGTTGTACATGAGGTTGCTGTGAGTTGGAGATCACTCCAGGCAACTAACAACAAACATAATGTTTCTTCTTCAAAAGCTAGCTCAACCATCATATCCTTCATGAGGCTTTTCCTCAGTCCTCAAAAGTAGGTGCATCCTCCTCTCTGCTCCCACTGCACACCATGCATGTCTCCATTATCCCCCTGCCTTTTTTTTTTTTGTGCATGTTACTGTTCCTGTCTGAAACACTGTAAGTGCCTTGAAGCTTTAGGGCAGGGAACTGAGGATTTTCTTCCCTGTATTCATGGCATTAATATATACCTTGCACAAAGTGTGTGCTTAATTAATAGTCGCTAAATGAATGAGAAAGGATCTATCTGTGGTAGTGCAGTGGTTAAATCATTTGGCTGCTAACCAAAAGGTACAAGGTTCAAACCCACCAGCTGCTCTGTGGGAAAAAGATGAGGCAGTTTGCTTCCATAAAGATTGGTAGCCTTAGAAACCTCATGGGGCAGTTCTACTCTGTCATATAGGATCACTTTCAGTTGGAATCAGGTCACTTTTATTTATTTTTATTTTATTATTTATTTATATTATTTTTTAAAAATTTTATTGTGTTTGGGGGCAAATTTACAGAGCAAAATTTGTTTTACATTCAACAGTTCATGTACATTTGATTTCATGCCCCGATTACCATCCCTGACCATTACAAACTCTCCTCCCTCCCGTCCCTATGACTACCGCCTCCCTGTGCTCTTCTTAACTATGCACTGCTGTCTGTCCAGTTTTCCCTCTTTGTGAATGCTGTCCCTTTGGTGCCCCACGGCCAATTGCTCTAAGGGATGTATCTCCCGAGAATAGGGAGGTACATCACCTTGAGGTAGGTGTTCTGCATGTAGGTCTTTCTACTGTTGGGCTGAGAGCCTGTCCATGGGAGTGAGTCTGATTCTAGGCCTGAAGGATAACCCGGGGCCATAGACTCGGGGGTTCCACCAGACTCTATCTGACCAGTAATTCTGGTCATTTTTGTGTTTTTTAATTTTTTTCCACATTTTTCCTCTGACTCTATCCATGATCTCCAGGTTTCATCCCTTTCTGAGCAGTTGGCATTGGTAGCTGGGCACCATTTAGTTCTTCTGGTCTCAGGGTCCATCTTATCCTTGGACTAATTGTTTCCAGATGCCTTTGATTTTCTTCACTATTCTTTGCTTCAGATGAGAGGAAACCAATAGTTGCATCTTAGATGGTCACTTGAAAAGTTTTAAGAAGTGAGATGAGTTTAAATGAATGAGTGAGTGAAGCAAGGGGAGGAAGGAATATATGAGTTAGATCTTTGCCAAAAGAACACATGGGTTACCATACTGTATTACACCCAGAAATAAACATGTTCTGATATTTAGCTTGCAAAATACAGGATACTTCAAGTGAGTTTGTCTAAGCTGCACAAGTTACAGACTAACATGAAATTGCTGCCAGAAGTTCCTGTGTTTTAGATGAGAGTGAATGAAAGTGGAACCTATTCCACAGGGCTTTTGTCTGGATATTATATATACAGACTAGTAGAGCACTCTTTTTATTTTCCAGGCAGTGAGGCAACAGCACTGTCAGATTTTTTTTTTTTTCCCTGATAGAAATAATTTTATGGATGAGTAATTTTTCTTAATATGTAATATTATTAATGGAGTTCATTTAACTGGTGATTCCACCTTCTGGCTCCTTTCCTTCTCCATAGAGAAGACAAGATATCCTAGGATAACAACAACAACAAAAAGTGTCTTTTTCTGAAGCACTGCTTTAGTTCCTCTTTGGCCACACTGCTGACCTGGGGTACCTTGTCGCCCTGGTGCTGCTTGCTTGCCTTTGCTCTTCCTGCCACAGCCTTGGAGTCTGTCTCAGTTTTCTATTGCTGCTATAACAAATTATTACAGATTGACTGGCTTAAAGAAACATTAATTTGTTACGTTATAGTTTGGGAGGTCCGAAGTTCAAAAGTGCATTTTATGGACTAAACTCAAGATGTCAACTGAGCTGCATTCTTTCCGCCAGCTTTAGGGTAAAACCCATTTTCTTACCTTTTCCAGCTTTTGGAGGCTGCATGCGTTCCTTGGCTCATGGCCTCCTCATCCATCTTCAAAACACATCATTCCAAACTCTGGTTCCATCACATCTTTTTTCTTCTTCTTCTTCTGACACTCCATTCTCCCTTGTGTAAGAACATCTGTGATTTATTAGGCCCAAACAGATAATCCAGGATAATTACCCCAGCTCATGATCCTTAACTTAATCACATCTTCCAAGGATTAGGACGTGGATATTTTTTGGTGGATCTTTAATTTGTCTTACCATAGGGTCAAGTGTTGAGAAGTAGACCAGATAAATTTAAGGCAAGCACTTGCAGGCAGGGAGAAGACACGCTCTCTTCCCAGTCCCTGCCCCATGTAAAATCATGATCATCTCTATTCCTCAACTCTGGCTTGTTTTCTTTACTTCAAACATAAAACTGGACTCCTGACTATAAAGTTTTGCAATAGATGCATCTTTCTTTTTCTCAATTTAGTAAATCCAAATATGAACACGTTCTAAAAGTTTTCACATAGTTAATATCTTTTAACAATCCAATCACGAAATTTTCTTAAGTATAAGAACTTATACTCAATACTCTTAATGCATAAAATTTTGGTTTCTGCTTTTAGTTAAAAAATGCAGGTGGACTGGAGCCCCTTGTTGCACTCTTGCGCTCCAAGAACGAGGAAGTCAGGAGGCATGCCAGCTGGGCTGTGATGGTCTGTGCCAGTGATGAGCTGATGGCCACTGAGTTGTGCAGGCTCGGGTGAGTCAACATTGCTCCAAGTGTCCAGCTGAGAGGGACAGCAGCAGCAGCAGCAGCACCCTCTCCCACCCCCAGGACGGTTAGGCAGAGTGTGCGCTTCCACCCTCAGCCCACAGAGTGCTCAAGAGGCCTGTGTGCACACTGGCAGTACCTCTGGAGGGGCTGTGAGAGGAGGGTGTGTCCATCCCCATTTCTGTGTCTCTCAGAGCTCTCCTAACTCTTTACAAAAATCACCTTCTGCCTTTCTTTTCTTCTTTTCCATCTTGACAAATGCTACTCTTTACCTTCCTCTTCTAGTGACAAACACAGTCCTATTTGTGTCTCAACTTGCAAGGCTAAAATAAAACAAACTGTGACTACTACCTCCATGTTCTCCCCACTGATCCTGAACCTTTCACCAGAATTCCATACTTAGCCACTCTGACCAAATCTGTTTTCCTTCTTAACAGCCCGTTTGTTGTCTTTAGCATATAAGCAAATAGGGTTTCAAGGCTCCATACGCAGACTTACACTATTAATTTCTAATCATTTTTATTCTTTGTATATATTGCCTGACAAGCTGTAGGAGTTGAGTCCAATACAAACTTTGCTATAAGTGAACAAAGAACGTTTTTTCCTCTGATACTATTTTTTTCAATGGTTTGAGTATGAGATACTACATGGCATACATCCTCAAAAAAGACTGATCTGCTTTCATAATCCTTTCAGTATTACTTTATCCAAAATGTTCTAAACTTTGCATGTTAGTTCTTCATTCGGGATTCTACGTAGGTTTATAAGTGGGAACCTAATGTTGGATTGTTTGTACAAAGCAAATAATGCTTTCTGGTTTCATTGACAGGGCTTTAGATATCCTTGAAGAAATTAATCTCTCAGTAAGTCGAAAAAATAAATTCAGTGAGGCAGCTTATAACAAATTGCTCAACAACAATCTTTCCCTGAAATACAGCCAGACTGGCTATCTGTCATCATATAACATAATTAGTGATGGATTCTATGATTATGGCCGGGTAAGTGGCAGCACTTATTTGTATTTCAGTATGTATGGTGATTATTTTTTCATTAAGTCACAATGCCATTACATTGTAATTTTACAACCACCTAACATAATTTATATTTTTATAGACAGAAATTTGGAAAATCATCACTTTGTCCATGACTTTGCCTATTTTTGAATCTGATTACTTATAACTAAATCAGCTTGCCAATGCTAGCCTCAAATTTCAAATAAGATATAGAAGGAACAGTTTTACTTTGGGAATTTTATTACTTCTAGGGCTTAGTATAGATGATAAGGATAGGATAAGGATAAGGACATGAATATGTTCTACATTTCATTAATTTTAATATGATTGAAATTAGCCAAATTATAATAATGGATTTTTAAATGTAATGGAGAAGAATATTATGTTAATTAACTACATTTATTACGATGATTTTTAAAACAGTATGTAGTGTAATGCAATGTTAATGTTAGGAGAAGTGGGAAACTAAAATACTTCAAATCTTTGAGTGCATTTTGAACATGGTTGCTAAATCAGCGTTTTCCACTTCTTCCAGAAATCAAAAGCAAAAGGGAGAATGGAGAAAATAAATAAAAGAAACCCCCAAAACCCATTTTAGACAAAACTAGGTAACAGATATGATGCACAGACTTCAGAAAAATGGAAGGGCTGCCAACTGTCCCTGCAAGCAGGAAGACTCTGTACAGGAGGAAGAAATGAAAAAAAAAAAAAAAAAAGATGCTCATAGAGGACCAAGAGAGCTAGTGGTGGCAGATCTCAGAAATTGCCATTAAAAAAAAAAAAAAAAAATGCTTCCTGAGGTGATGGGAGAACTGGGAATGCAAAAGCTATATTCCTTGCATAGGAAAGAAAGGCACAGCAGAAAAAGTAACGATGGGGAGAAAGTGGGAAGAGAGCCGTTACATTATGGGGATTGCACTCAACGTCATGAAACAAAATGTGTATGAACTGTATGGAAAATTAATTTGCTCTAGAAACTTTCACCCAAATCACTATTAAAAAAAAAAAAAAGCTGTATTCCTTGTTCACCAGGTATTGCAGGAACCAGGGTGAGCAAAGCTGGCAACATAATTGGTTCAAAGACACAGAGGAGAGGGGGCCATAAAAAAAATTACGTAGCTAATAGCTGAGCCATACTTGTAGCACATACTCTATATGGCAGGAGAGACTTAGAGAACTTCTGAATATTAAAAAACAGCCAGCCTAGAATTTAACTGTGGTTCTTTCTCCTATCTTCCCCCGACTCTCCAATACTGTACACACAAACCACTGAGAAATCACTAGTCCAAGAAAGCCCAACTCATTCAAAGGTAAATAATTTAATAAAAAATTGGCACAGAATACGGAGCTTTGCTGGTGTGGTGCCTAAGGCATCTGACTGCTAACCAGAAGGTTGGTGGTTCAATCTCACCAGCCACTCTGTGGAAGGAAGACTGGGCAGTCTACTTCTGTAAAGATCTATTGCCTCAGAAACCCAAAGGTGGTTGCTGTGAGTTGACTATATGGCAATGAATATTTTTTTTTTTTTTTTTTTTTAAAAAAAAAAAAAAAAAATTTAAAAAAAAAAGAGGAAAAGATAAAAAAAAAAAAAAAAAAGAACATTTACCAGAAAAATGTTGCCATATAGCAGCTAAAACTGTGACAAGATATATTTAGTCATGAATTTTTTTTAAAAATTAAGACACTTTCTTCTATAAAGAAGAAATCCCCTGATTCATTCATACAGTAAATATTAAGTTTCTAATGTTGGAGGCATTACATATGTGAGTAAACAAAACAGACAAAAGGTGTCTACTCCCCTGGTACTTAGATTGCAGTGGGAAGAGAGAATAAACAACAAACACAATAAGTAAATAATAACATTTAATAGAAATAACTAGCACTAACAAAGTAGAGCGTAGTCAGGATAAGGAGACTCTTTAGCATGGAGAGTACTGGGGTTGGTGGCTGCAGTTTTAAAGACTGGGGGCAGGTAACTTCAAGAGTTACATCTGAGCAAAAATTTGAAGGAGACGAGGGACATAGCCATGGTAATACCTGGAGAAAGAGTCCTGTAGGCAGAGGAAACAGCCAGGACAAATATGCTTTGCAGCATGAACATGTTTGCATGTTTAAAGAACAGCAAGTAGGTCAGTGTAGCTAGAGCTGAGAGAACAACGGGGAAGAACAGTAGAGCCAGAATCATGCAACTCCTGCAGACCTTTGGAAGGACTTTGGCCTTTACTCTCAGTGACATGGGAAACTAGACGGAAGAATAGTATGATCTGTGTTATTTTTAAAGGACCATGAAAAGTATCTTAGGTAAAAAACCAAAAAACCAAACTCACTGCCACTGAGTCAGTCCCGACTCATAGGGACCCTTCCTTGGGTTTCCAAGGCAGTATCTCTACGGAAGTAGATTACCCAGTCTTCTTCCCAGGAGTGGCTGGTGGGTTTGAACCACCAGCCTTCTGGTTAGCAGTAATGCTTTAGGCACTACACCACCAGAGCTCCCATGTTGGATGAAAGAGGTATCTAATCATAACTTGATTGGGAAAAGATCAAAGAAGAAGATCTGATCTAAACTTCTTCCCTCCCAAGCTGGTCAAATTGCCAGGACAGGGCTTTGTCTAGCCTGGGTTTAAATATCCACTAAACATTTTTAGTAGGAGTTCTGGTAGCATAGTGCCTAAAGCACTTGACTGCTAACCAGAAGGCTGGCAGTTCAAACCCACCAGCCACTCCTCGGAAGGAAGGTTGGGCATTCC